GTTCGCACTACGTCATAGGGCTCTAATCGGTTTATCATACCAGGTAGAGCCACCCATAGTCTATAGTCAAAGCATACCTTTACGTCTACGTCCACGTCTACGTCACTACCTAGTTTGTATTCCTTGGCACCATAGTCTATCGCCTACGGTCCCCGTGATAAAGAAGACACAGCGGAGCCAAGCAGTGGGATTCGCCTGATGTGGTAACCCGCAGTTCGCAATCCGAAATTTGTGTATACCATCGAAGCAGAGGATGGGGAAACGCGGCATCATTGAATTTCATGGGCCATCATGATCGTGGGCTCGAGACGGTGCATTCGATGCCATGCAGTCATCGATCGTTGTACCCGCTCGGTGAGTGGCGGTGCCGGGAGTGAACCAGCACAGGATGCCAAGACTCACAGTGAGTTACCCTACTCAACGGCCCCCAACCACCACCTCCGCCCCCGCAATCACGACCACGACCCCCTGTACGCGCATACCTGATGATGGGAATGGACTCGGGTCGTCCTTTTCGACCCATAGTCACGGAGCTCGGAATTGTGGGGCGACGGTTCCCGGGCAACCTCAAAATACTGTCTGACATTCCACTACAAGATGAGGTGTCGATAATGAAATGTCACTCACATATCGGGTTGCAAGTATTAAAATCCGAATTAGGAATCGATGCGTATTCGATCGTAGTTTGAACCTGTACGTTGTTGTTTAGGTTTACAAGTGTTGCAATCTGGTTCAGTTGGGTATACAAAATACAATTCTCAGTCAAAACAAAATACATAAATCTCTATTTGGTGGTGGTTTAAACCTGGATGCGGGTGGTTAGGGTTACGTTGTTGAAGTGGGATTTTGGTTAGGGTTAGAGAATACGGTTTTCGGTCAAAATGGAATGCATGAATCTGTATTGCGAGGTGGTTTAAACCTGGCTGTTGGCGGTTAGGATTACGAGCATTGCCATCTGGTTCGGTTAGGTGTGCAAAATAGAATTTTTGGCAGAAATGAAATACATAAATCTGTATTTGGTGGTGGTTTGTACCTGGCTGTTGGCGGTTAGGGTAATGAGCGTCGAAGTGGGATTTGCCCAATGCGGTAACCCGGGGTTCAGAATCCGAAATTCGTGTATTTCATCGAACCACAAGATGGGGAAACACGGCATGATTCAGTTTTGAACGCCGTCATGATTGTAGGATAGAGAAGGCACGCTCGGTACGGTGCAGTTGTCGATTGTTGTGAGTGTCGGTGATGGAGTGAACCAGGACGGGTTGCCAAGACTCACAGTGAATTACCCTACTCAACGGCCCCCAACCACCATCTCCGCCCCCGCAATTACGACCACGACCCCCTGTACGCGCATACCTGATGATGGGAATGGACTCGGGTCGTCCTGTTCGACCCATAGCCACGGAGCCCGGAATTGTGGGGCGAAGGTTCCTGGGCAACCTCAAAATCCTGTCCGACATTCCACTACGAGAATGAATTACCCCCTTCCAAATGGTTTATTGTATGTCAGTTAGTTTCTCCTACCGGTTAGCGTATGGCTAGTACGTATTGTAAATACCTACAATTGCTTGGAGATTCAGTACTTGATTACCTGCAGGGTTTGGCAGTTCTGTAGAATATCCTGGATTGATTTGGCAGGAGAGGATGGTAACCATCAGCAGGTTTCATGCCATATTATTTTTAAATCCCCAAAGATTGGAGGCTTAATTGGAACGTAGAGGACATGTCGAGCTGCTACCTGAATTGTTGCAAAATCGCTCCAGATTTGTTGCAGATTTGGTGGTGATGACAGCACACAATTCACTGCAGAGGGTGGTGCTGGATTTGGTGGTGAATGCTTAGTGGCAGACATTCATGTTGGAGAGCAAATGGTGGGGGTGGTATTGAAGTGGGTTTACGCTCGGTTGCAGATTTGCATGTTCGAGAATTTGTACGGAGGGAGTTGCGAAAGTATGTGGTGAACCAGATTTGTATATGGAGTAGGTGAATTTCAATGGTTTGCACATCTGTAACAAAGATGCCATGATGGGGCACGACTGTGACTTCTATCATGTAAAAAATAAAAAATAGAAACGCACGAGTTATGATAGGACTTGTTCAAGGGGAAGATAGAGTTTGTTTGTTTGATTGTTTTTGTAGTCTAGGAACTTAATAATTTTAAGGAGTCTTCTCGCTAGTAAAGATCCACTAATGATGGGAGGCCAACCTGGAGCTACACCGGTTCTTTATAGAAGTCCGGTACCCTTATTCAGGTTTTTCGTTCTGACTGGCAATTTGCCTGTCAATAGTCGGGGGCACAGCGACTATTTCCTACAGAGCGGAGTTAGGAGTGTTGCTACCACACTTCGGAGTATCTGCTATCCGAGTCAAATCAAGCAATCTCTGCCAGGAGCTGGTCGCCTCCTAAAAACTAACGGAAACAACCGACCAAACAACAATCGCTTATTCAATTGATTTGGGTGTTTATAAAGCAAAGTTTTGCTTTAGTAGCTTGGGTCACACTCTCAATCCCCAAAGGTGCACCGGAGTCAAATAGGAGGGTTCCGGCGGTTTGACGCTCCAGGGGTTATTTTTGGGGTCCAAAACATATTTTTTTTCCAACGTTTTCACAACTCCGCAAATGCTTCTCAAACAGATCGAGATACCAACCGGATACCAACCGGATCACCTCCGTCATGCTGGAGTATATCCTCCGGGCCTTAGCTTGCACCTGTAGATTTGACTTGTAAGATTCCTTACTCGCTAAAATCTCTACCTTCCATACCAACAGAGATAGGGGCTCACCTGCCCTTGCCTTCATCCGTCGATGAATAACAAGCTGCGGTTACCTTAGGGTCTTTTTAGCTTAACTGGTAGAACAGGTACTTTTGTAACAGCCTTATAGCGGCCCTGTTACAACACCCAAGCTTGTCTACAATCCGAATCCAATTCATACATGCAGATAGGTATTATATGGTCATACTAGCACCTGTGGTATTACCAAACTTGAATCAGGTGTTGTACGCTCGATGCACCACCTGGAGCAGTTCCCAATTGGATACTGTACCATGGTTCCAGTACTGGTAGCATTGTTCAGATCGCAACTATGTGGTGGTTACAGAACTTGAAAATACATAATTTGTGTCACTGCTAACCTCAACATTGAGCTCACTTCCCTAAATTTGAAGAGACACACTTGTCAAATGAGTCCTGTACGGGGCGATTTTGCAGAGGCAGAGTTGTCAAATACCTCCCGTACGAGAGGATTATGTAGAGGTAGAGTTGTCAAATACCTCCTGTATGAGAGGACTTTGTAGAGGTAGAGTTGTAAAATACCTCCTGTACGGAGTGATTTTGCAGAGTCAACTGCCTGCACCTACATCCTGCACCTACATCCCGTACGGGGTGATTTTTCAAGGAATTTTCTGCGCACACCTCCCGTACGGGAGGATTTTGCAGAGTCAACTGCGTGCACCTGGCTCTCGTACTGGGCATGCACATGGGTATGCACCTGGCTCTCGTACGGGGCCATTTTGCAGACTCCGAGTTGTGAAATACCTCCCTCACGGGGCGACTGACTGGTCAATGCGTTGAGACCCCTCTGTCCTACGCCACTTTTGCTAAACCAATCATCATCGGTCTCCTCCACATGCTACAATTTGCAAAAAGCTCGCTATCAGTTTCTACTGTATGGGGCTTCTAGAACAAACGCCGCCCTGAACCGATTCCATACGGGGCTGTTGGCAGAGCAAAGCTCTTACAATCTCTAGCGTATGCCATCTTTAGCATGGTCGGTTTCATTGAGTACCTCCTGTATGCCGCCTTCAGCAGAGACAGTGGCCTGGACACTTCACCGTACGGTCCTTTGTAGATATGTAGTGGAATTGAGTTCCTCCCTTACGCCGCCCATAGTAGAGGTTGTACCTTGAGAATCTCCCCGTGCAGGATCTTTTGGCAGAGGTAGTGCCTTGGGAATGTTCCCGTACACTACCTTTTACCACAATCAGCGCTATCGGATACCTCCCATACGGGGATTTTCAGCAGAACCAGTGCCTTCGGATACCTCCCGTACGAGACCTTTTGGCAGAAACAGTGCCATCGCATGCCACCCGTACGGGACTTATTAGCCGGATCAGTGTCATTGGATACCCCTCGTACATAATGCCTTTTACGATTGTTCGAGATTTGACCATTTTAGGCCTAAAATCTAGCCTTAAGCCGAACCCCATACCAACAAGAACGGGTATAATGCCGTCAGTCGCTTGGAAGGAAGGGCCCTTGACCAGGTCATTCCACTCGTTAACGCTAACCTTGCCACCCCCTTCTCCTCCGTCACTGCCTTCGTTGCCCACCTGGAAGCTTTGTTTGGAGACCCAGACCCCCAGGGTACCGCCCGTCCCCAGCTCGTTGCCCTGAAGCAAGGCAAAGGGGACTTCACCACCTATTACTCACAGTTCCTCCGTATCGTGGCATACCTGGACTACAACGAAGGAGCCAAGATCGATGCCCTGGCCGAAGGACTGTCGGACGATCTGAAGGGCACCATGACATACCGGACAGACAGGCCTAACACCGTAGGGGCGTATGCTACCATGTTGATGACAATTGACAACCAAGTTCGGGGCAGTAAAGCTGAACAATGGGCCATTCGGAATACGATAGGACAATTCACCGCTCCCGCTGCTGTCGCACACCCATCTCATACCGCCGGAGGCCTCGCCCCAATGGACCTCTCCGCTCTCCAAAGCCGTCCCACTCAACGCCCTGCTATCGAACAACGATACACTTTTGTCAATGGACAACGCGAAACGTCTGCCGCCGAAAAACAATGGCGAAGGGACAACAATCTCTGTATGTACTGCGCTAACCCCGGTCATGGCTTTGCCAACTGCCCCTCTGCCAATCGCCCGCGCGGTAACCAACCGGTTATGAGAGGCGCCCTCCTCGCACCCAGCTATACGGCCGTCGACCCCGCTGTTCCACTGGTCGCTAGTCCCGCCTCCTCCGAGTCGGGTTTTCAGTAGTCCTGGGCTTGATTAATGGCCCCTGCCCGGGACCTTCCAATGTCTCTCCTTTGTCTGCGTTTTCTATCTCTGGCTTCTCGGTATCGTCTGTGGAGGATAAATTGGATGGTGATCATTTTGTTGCTTCTGGTAAAATTATAAACAATAAAATATCCATTCAAACTCATGCACTGATTGATACCGGTTGCTCCGGATTCGCATTCATTGATGAAACATTCGCGCGCCATAAGAACTTCCCATTTCTTCCCCTTAAATCACCCCGCACTCTTGAAGTCGTTGATGGACGACCAATATCTTCCGGACAAATTACCCACCTCTGCTACCTACCGCTATCAATTGACTCCCACCATGAAACTATCCCCTTCTTCGTTACCAAACTCGGCTCGTACCCACTCGTCCTCGGAATCCCCTGGCTCCAATTGCACGACGTCACATTACGGTTTAAGGACAACAGTATACTGTTCGACTCCGAACACTGCAAACGCAAGTGCAACTCTTCCGAGATACCCGTTCCCATTAGAGGGGTTGCACCACCGCCCCGTTTCCACTTCGTCAGTTCAGCTGCTCTTTGTCGCTTTGCTCGAAGGGACAAACTCCAGATCTTTAGTACAACTAGTGAGGAAATAGATCAAACAATGGGCGAGGCCCCTAAGGAAGACTGGAGAACCCGAGTCCCAACCCAGTATAGGAGGTTTCATGAAATGATGGATGAGAAATTCGCTAATGAGATGCCACCTCGCCACCCCTACAATCATAAGATACCGCTTAAGGAAAGGAAAGAGCCCCCTTTTGGGCCACTTTATGGTATGTCCCGCGAGGAACTCATTGTGCTTAAACGATACATACAGGACAACCTCCAAAAAGGCTTCATTCAGGCCAGCTCTTCGCCTGCCGGTGCCCCTGTCCTATTTGTTAAGAAGGCCAATGGAACACTCCATCTCTGTGTCGATTATCGTGGCCTCAACGAACTCACTGTCAAAAACCGCTACCAGCTGCCACTCATCCGGGAAACTCTCGACCGCCTTTCCAAAGCCAAGTAGTACACCAAACTTGACCTTCGCCAAGGGTACAATCAGATCCGAATGGCTAAGGGTGAAGAATGGAAAACAGCCTTCCGAACGCGTTACGGGCATTCCGAATATACGGTGATGCCCTTCGGCCTTACCAATGCACCAGCCACCTTTCAACATTTCATCAATGATTGCGTCCGCGACTACCTCGTGTTTGGGGAAATGCCAATGCTAAGCAATAGTTCTGTAGCTTTTAAACTTGTAATATTGTAAACCGGATTCCGCTCGCTGAGTGACTGATGATGCCACTAAGACGAGGCGGAACCCTTCCCTATTTATACATATTGGAACCTATGCCAAGGCCCGCTTTCTAATACTAATGAGATAACGATAATAGAATAAGATAATCAACCCGAAGATAACCCCAATAGAAAAGCGCCCCCGCATAGTTCCGTTCCTCCATTCTAATTCCGACACGTAACCATAAACCCCGCAATTGCCAGTAACCGAGCTGTATCATGCTATTGTCCTAGAGCTACTTCCCCAAGTAGAATGGCCTGCAGCCATAAGCCCCGCTTCTATTCCGTTCCGGGTGAGACACCCAATAGTAAGCGTGCCCTCACAACAGCCTAATACTAGTGTGGTTGCACCCGGTGCCCCCACACCCCTCGGTACCTTTCTATGCTTGTTCCCTCGTTACCCGACCGTACTCGCATCACAACCCATCACTCGTATTATCCTTGTTCCTTGACTTAGGAGCAGTGTTCGTGTTTCCTGTAACACTACTCCCCCTTCCTAGACGTCGCCCTCGACCGTTAAAACCTTTCTATGATAAAAACCCTGTGGGAAAAGTCATAGAGTAGGAAAGGTATCGAGCTAGTCTTCCCTAGTCCGTTGTCGTTTCGGAGGCCGACTCGAGTCGATGACTGGCCCTTGACTCCGTGTATGGGGCCGAATATTCGTGGTTGGTTTGAAGTTCTCATCTAAGAGCGCTTCTTGAGGATCGGGTGTTGCGAGTCGTTTTCGTGTGTTCTGTTGCCTGCCAGGATTGGGATCCTCTCGATAAGGTCGCAACAACATCTCGTGGAATACGTCATGAACCTTCCATTCTACCGGAAGATTCAACCTATAAGCCCTGTTTCCCACAGCCGCGACGATCTCGAAGGGGCCTGTAAACTTATCCGACCATTTATTGTAACCACCGAGGTTCCGAGTATCTAGCAAGACCTTTTGACCGATTGTGAACCGCTGAACTGCTGGCCCTGGCCTTGACGCCATCCTGTCAAAAGTCTTCTGCAGTGTGTCTCTCGCTGACTCATGGGCTAGGAGAAGGTCTTCCAGGTAGGTGTTTCCCTTGGCATCTAGCTGTCCGATTTTCGCATCCATTGGCCAATCTGTTCGTGGGTGGAAACCATAGTTACAGTAGAACGGCGATTGTCCTGTCGACGAGTGTTTCGCATTATTATATGCATACTCACAAATCGGTAGTAGGTCCTTCCATTTCTTTCCTGTTCCTGCGGTATAGGCCCGGATGTAGGATTCGAGGTGCTGGTTGGTCTTTTCTGTTTGTCCATCCATCTGTGGGTGGAACGAGGTCGAGAGTCTTCTACGAATCCCTAGTCGTTCTGTGACCGCAGCCCAGAATGCCGATACGAACTGTGTTCCCCTGTCAGAGACAATGCTCCTAGGAAGTCCGTGAAAGCGCCAAATGTCCTTGACAAAGGCATTAGCGGTTTGTTCCGCGTTGATTCCCGTCATTGGGATGAAGTGAGCCATTTTCGTAAAACGGTCCACGACTACCAATACGTTACGGAATCCTGATTTCTCCTTTGGCATTTCTACTACGAAATCCATTGAGATATCAGTCCAAGGTGTGGTGGCTAACTCTAGGGGTTGAGGGAGTGACAAGTGTCTCCGACGTTGCTTGGCTCTCTGGCACACGTCGCAAGTCTTGACGAAGTTGGCTACATCCGTGGACATTCCTGGCCACCAGTAGTTCCTATCGATCAACTCAAGGGTTTTATCCCTTCCTAGATGCCCCGCTACGGGTCTGTCATGATGATCCTCGATGACTTGTCTGACCGCGTATCCTGGCACTACCCAACGACCATCGTGGGTGGCCTCATTCGATCCCGGGGTCCATTCAGTGGCAAGCTCCGTTATTACGGCATCAGCTTCCTCTGTCCCGAAGACTTCAAGGTTTGCGTCAGGGAGAGGTTCATCCCGGAACACTCTCCGAACCCATTGTCTGTCCTGTTCATACCAGTCTTGTAGTGGCTGAGGCAGCTCAGTACCTGGTATGTCGTACCACTGATCCAACGGAGTCCATTCTTCTTCGGGGTTGCCAATAATTTCAGGGCCAGTTTCTACGCTGGTCCGTGATTTTCTGACAAATTGTTCTGCGCTGAGCAACTGTTTTACGGGTTGTTCACGCATTACTCCCCCTTCCATAGCGAACTCTGGGCGCCTTGTGAGTGCGTCTGGCTTGCCATTCTTTTCGCCTGGTCGGTAATGAATCCTGAAGCGAAAAGGTGCTATCTTTTCGGCCCATCTGGCTTGTCTTCTCGACAACTTCTTGGTCGTTGTGAAGTACTGTAGGTTCTGATGATCCGAATGTATCTGGATAGGAATGTCCGTTCCTTCCAGCCAATGTCTCCAAGTCAAGAGAGCAGAAACTATAGCGAGCATCTCCTTGTCATAGATCTCGTAGTTTACCTCTGCCTCGTTGAACTTGCGAGAGTGGTAAGCTACCGGGTGTAGAATACCGTCCTCGAACACCTGAGAGAGTACTGCGGCCTCAGCCCAGTCGCTTGCGTCAGTTTCTATGATCGCTTCGCGGTGCTCGTCATAGTGTCGTAGTATTGGGGCAGACGTAAATCTCTCCTTGAGTTCGTCGAAAGCACTTTGCTGTTCATTGCCCCATCGCCATACGGAACCTTTCTTCAAGAGATCGGTCATTGGTCGGCAAACTTCGGAGTACCTGTGGATGAACCGTCGTAGGAAGTTGGCGAACCCGAGGAAACATTGAAGTTCCTTGACCTTGGTGGGTGGTAACCATTCCGTGATTGCCTTCACCTTTTTAGGCGAGACCTGGTTCCCTTTCCCTGATAGTACGAATCCCAGGAATTCTACCTCCTGTTTGTACCATTCCGTTTTCTCGAGGTTCCCGTATAGATGGTTTTGTTGCAGTCGCTCCAATATCTTCCTCACCAGAGTCGTATGCTCTTCCTTAGTCTTTGAATATATTAGAATATCATCCAAGTAGACTACTACGCCTTGATCTAGAAGATCCTTGAATATGGTATTGACCATGACCTGGAACGACGCCGGTGCATTGGTTAAGCCAAAAGGCATTACCCTATATTCGAAGTGGCCGTACTTCGTTCTGAAAGCTGTTTTCCATTCCTCGCCAGCAGCAATCCTGATCAAGTTATAGCCATTTTTCAGGTCTATCTTGGTAAAGAACTCTGCTCCTTTCGTCGAATCGGCCAACTCTGTCATAAGGGGAAGGGGGTAGCGATTTTTGACTGTGATAGCATTTAAGCCACGAAAGTCTACGCATAACCTCAGTTTTCCATTGGCTTTCTTCACGAACAGGATCGGTGCTGCTGCTGGGCTGGTGGAGGGGACTATTTTGCCAGAGGCTAGCATTTCGTTCAAGTACTCCCGGAGTGCTTTTTGTTCCACTGGGGAGAGCGCATAGATCGGTCCCCATGGAGGCTGCTTTCCTTCCATAAGGGGAATGGTATGGTCCCATTCAGAGTGATCAGGTAGTCGATCGGCTCCCTCCTTCGAGAAGACGTCGACGAAGTCCTGGTACTCCATCGGTATAGCACTAGCGAGAGCCTCGCCTACCAATGCCCTTGCCCAGAAGGGGTGTTGCTCGATCATCATCTGTGTCTCGGGTGACGACTTCAACAGCCTGATGACCAGCTCTTCTGGGTCCTCTTCGTATATATCATACATGGTCCTGAAGCATCCCTTCACTTGACAATTGATGTTGTCGAAGGTGACCTTGTTCTGTCCCCAATGTATGGTAGGTTGATGCTCCTTGAGCCATCGATGTGGTATGACGGGGTCTTCTCCTGCGAATGAGCCAACCTCACAGACGATGTCTCTGTCTAGATGGTTGCCGATGCGGAGGGTAAGGGATTGGGTGATGTGAGTGCCGGAGTTAGGCATAGGGGTACCGTCAGCTTGTCTGATGATGAGGGGCTTGGGTCGAGGTTGAGTTGGGATCTTGAGACGGTGGACACAGTTCCAGGACATAACCCAGTCCTCTGTTCCGCTGTCTAGGAGTGCGTTGACTGTTTCTGCATGTTGGGTACTAGTTGCGGGGTGGCTCCAAGAGATTTCAATCTCAAGGCGGGTTTCTTGGTTGTGTGAAGACATGTTCGTATGTTTTAGGAGTGTAGGGTAAGGTAGATTGTCCTTGGGTATGAGTGGATTGATGTTGATAGTTTTTTTTTTTTGTTCTGAGCGCGGGGCGAGGGAGTTTATATAGAAATTCGAGCGTTGATCAAATCATAGTACAACACTTATGCGCCAGGCGTTTTCGGAATGTGACCCCGCTTTTCGAAATGTGTGTAGAGAGAATTTAAATTGCGCAAAATAACAAAACCGATAGAACATAACATAACCCGATCCCTTAGAAAAGTCCTTCTTCCAAAACAGAATAGAAAAGCCGTAACACAACATAGAATGAAACACCGAAAAATAGAAATACCCAGTCAATTTAGTCCTCCAAATTCGTAATCCTTGCCCTAAATGCCTCATTTTGTGGCCCCAATTTCCGTTTCTTATCACCCTCCCTTCCGTGGTCCTTTCTCCCGGAAGGATATTCTTTTCTCTTTAGGTTCGTCAACCTGACCTTACTCGTCGCCACGCAATCTTTTACGAAGTGGTTATCTCTACCACAACGGAAACACTTTCCTTCTTTCTGCCATTTCTCCTTCTCTTCTTTGGTGACACCTAAGTCATCCGAGGTCTTGGAGTTGTTGGCTGATGCGGGAAAAGTTTTCCGAGGATTT